TTCGTGATTGCAACTCATTAAGGTATATTTTATCTTCATAGATTCTACGTTTGACTTTTGATTTTAACCGTTATTAATTCTTGCCTGGACCAGACTAGCATACATTGTTGGCATACATGACAAGTAGGGCTTGATTTAACCAGGATGACATGTTCGATAGACTCGCCTGTTTTAATTTTAATTAACAAAAAATGTGCAATTTTCCCTTGCGAGGTGAAAAATGACAAAGAACGTGCTTCGCAAAACTGCAGCACATTAACGACCAACACAAATAAACATTTCCAGATAATTGGACATGCTTACGACTAATGAAACGGTCCACTCCTACATTGAAAAATCAGTCAAACATTAACAAGGAACAAATTCAGTTTAAAACCAGACAACAACATAAGACAGACATCCTACAATATCATCCTATAAAAACTCCTGCTGCTGCTTCTTTCTGTCAATCAAAAAATTTCTATCTAACATAGTAGTATGGAACTTCAGTTCCTTAATAGATGTGCCAAGAGTACTACTCTTCCCTGTAAATCAAGAAATAGAGGTCCAAACAAGAACAAGTTTGTCGGGGTGAGGCAAAGGCCATCGGGCAAATGGGTCGCAGAAATCAAGAACACAACTCAGAAGATCAGAATGTGGCTCGGGACATTCGACACTGCTGAAGAGGCTGCTCAGGCTTATGATGAAGCTGCTTACCTTCTTCGTGGTGCAAATACGCGAACCAATTTCTTGAATAACGCCCCCTCCAATCCAGCCCTTTCCTTGAAAATCCGGAATCTCCTTAATCAAAAGAGGGGCCTAAATAAAACCACTACTCCTATTCTTGCTTCCACAAATACTACTCCTAGAAAAAATACTAAGCTTGAAACGTGTCCAAAAAATGTTTCTTGTACCAAAACTCTTTCTCCTAGTAGTTCTCGATATAGTACTAGTGTGAGTTCTCAAACTAGTTCTCCAGTTTGTCTGTCCAATCCAGTCAGTTTTGAGGATACGTATAAGCCGGATTTGAGCTGTTTCACTGGAGGATATGAAATTCAAGATCAATGTTCTTCCTTTTTGATGAATTTTGACAAGATTTATCCATTTCAACAAGATGGTTTTGAGGCACAAAAAAGAGTTGGCGAGACGGAGCACTTTCCTGATTTTGAACGTATGAAGGTCGAAAGACAGATTTCAGCTTCGCTTTACGCAATGAATGGGATTAGTGAATACTGGGATAACATCCATGATTCAAATGATCCTTTGTGGGATATTTCCATGCTGCCAAATGTACCGTACTCGGATTAATTTCTTGTGATCTGATCATGTTTTTGACAGATTGTAGGACCGGGGAAGTTTGTATCCCACTACTTTAGTTTCTGCATCGAATTATCAAGAATCATTTGGGAAAAAAAAAAAAACACTCGCATTTTCTAAAGCATGTGTGCGAAAATCTTGCTTTGTACCTGACAAGATGTCCTTAAAGGCAAAAGATTAAGCCTCTGGAATGAATAACATGAAAATTAGGACATTTAAAAACTAATGCTCGTATGATACCATCTGTTTTTATCTTGATGATGAAAGTGACTCAAGAATTTGGGGCATTCCATTATGAGATATTGATATGATCGAATCTTTGGACGCAAAAAATGATGATGACGACAATAAATTTTTATTAAGAACCAAGTATTATTTTTGAGCAGAATTTTAGATTATATTTGAGAAAAAAGAAAAATTGTTAGGATTTCTTGAACTTTAGCAATCTTGAGTAGAGTTGAACATGATACTCTATACCTGGCCGGCCTTCATTTTCCCTTGTTGGAGAGCATACATTAACATTTCTATTAGTCAAACTAATAGTTATAAACATAATAGACAAGAAAATCAAGCTTTGACGAAGACACACGGTACAAAATAGAAGTTTGTCTAAGGATGAAACCTAGGACACTAGTTAGTTTAGCAAATCTTTAGTACATGTAGTTTTTGTTGATGACAAGAGGTGCAACACAGGTTAAAGCATCCTACTATGTTACATTACATTCTTGATCAAATCAGTATCAGCAATGCTGTACAAACAATTAAAAAATGTTAAATGAAAAACTTTCAAATTGCAAATACTAGAAATTATTTTCTATTCTTGACCATTAAAGATTTCGAATAATAGAGAAGTGGGATTCTTATTCACCATAGCGCCTATAGGCAAGTTATAGGGTAAATAAGGTAAGAACATTAATAGAAAGAAACTCCATTTTAATACGCTTGGACGGATGATTGATCGAAAAGCAAATATATTAATTAAACATGGTTCTTTTTTACATTTACTAAAAAGTTTTTAAGTCATTGAATATCATCCTTGCTACTATTTCGAATCAATTGTTGTTTTAATCTACATATTAGGAATGGACAAAATGACCAAACCAAATCAAACCAAGCTGTTTGGTTCGATTGTATAAAAAAAATTAATGGTTATGGTTCTTAGAATTGAAAACCATTTGGCTCTAGTTCTAGTTCGGTTCTAATTCTACAACCAAGAACCAAATCAAGTACTGTATATATTTTACAAATTAGTGAATCAAAATTCACACCAAAAATGTTAATATTCAATTGAAAATCAGGACAAAAAGATCATGTACCTTTGATTTTTCATTTCTCATCCTATAGACCCTAATTCATTTTAGAGATCTAAACCTTAATTCAATTCTCATTTTTTTTTATCCTTCTCAATTTATAGATTGACTCTCACATGAAGACCAACAACTGTCGCATGTTGTCTATTGTCGCACTCAACCATCAGTCCACCACCACCACATGGATTTCTGATATTGATGTCTCAACTTTCGATTCTTCTTCCTTAAATGTTCTCTCTTTTTTTCTCAATCCATATTGAAACTAGAACCAAATCGAACCAAACCATATCTTTAAAAATAAAAAATAAAAAAATCACATGGTTCCATTATAAAAAAAATCATTGGTTCATGGTTCGATTCAATTCTCCTGAAATTAGAACAAAAGGAACCTTATCCATCCATACTACATATGCTTATTTTATTTTATCTTGCTTTATTTCTTTTAAAATTTTGTTTTTGTTTCAATTGTCCCCATTGCAAAAATTATCTTATTATAAATATACGAAATATTAAAATTTAGTAAAAATTTTCAAGATCTCTAGATTTGTTATCTAGCATGATTGAGTTTTGTAGATTTCTTTTACGCGAAATTAGAACATATTCTGGCTTAAAATATTTAAAAATATAATTACTTCAAAAAAAGGAATTTTTTTTTTTTAATACAATTGTTGAAAAAACAGGAGAAATTGGAAGTGGAATTACACGAACGAAAAGCACTAAGCTGGGCATTAATGGGTATTTAACCACGTTATCACCTGACCTTTCCCTTTCTGCAATAATAAAATGAGGAAACATTTAAATCGAACGTTTCTACACTGTCTACATGAGATGAAATCAAACTTCTAAACACTCCACAATTTTGCTTCAGCAGATTCATTTATATCTGTTTTCTCCCTTTTCCGTGTTCAGCTCAACTTCACTTATTATCCAATTTACTGGTGACAGTTCAGTTCTCAATTAAATCAGGTAAGTGAAAATATTAGAAACCAATCGGCCCAGCTCATTGATTACTGTTCTTTTGTTAAATGAACATTTGTTATACAGGGTTTCAATTCCATGCTAAAATATTTACTTCGTGTATCATTTTTTGCGTGTGTTCAGTAGGTGCTGCGAATTACATATGTATTATCGTTCTTGAATTTATTTATTTTTTTTCCAATTTTTCTGTTTGCTGTTGTTTTAATTATTTTTCTTGTTTTATGGATAATAAATTAAAGTATTGGGTTTTTATTGATCGAGTGTTTATCTTTGTTGTTATTAATTCTGAAACTCGAAACCCTTTATTTGTTTAGTGAAACGGGGGAGAGGAGTAGAAAGGAAAGCTATTCGATCATAAATTGAATAAATTTAGTTAAATTTAGAGAGATATTAAGCTGCCTCTGTAATTTCTTTGGAAAGATTGAATCTTTTTATTGTATGAGCTGGCTATTCTGTTCATTATATGGTAACCTACTTAACCTTAGAGAAGGCAAAAGAAAAATGGCTTTTTTCTTCCTTTTCCTTTAGTTTCTTGAGTGAAGAGAAACTGGTGGAAGAAATGATCATGATTTTTTTAAAGGCGGAGAGCCAGTGGCTGGTGCAAGCGGCTAGCGTTTATGTTGACAGTAGCAGTTTCTTGTGGCAGTATCTTATTGAATGTTGTGTACGAGTGTTTGATGCTTTGACTGCTATAGAGATTATGCAGTTTGCAACACACTCCCTTACCTGCATGTCATATTTATTTTTTGATCAATGCCTTACACATGGACAATTGTTATAAATATGTGACGGCAGGACTTGAACCAAGGTCTTTTGCATGATCTGAATAGGTTCGGCTTACGAAGTGTCAGCAAAGAAACTGGTTTATATATTTCTCCGACTGCACCAAAAGCTAGCAATTTCAAAGATGTCTAATGTGGAGGGTACAAAGATTTCAATTCAGGATATAAAACTGGTAAGCATTTGAGTCTATGTCTCTGTTGTCCTTTTCCTAAATATTTTATGAATGCTTTAAAGTAATTCTCATTTACTCTATTCTCAGCCGGAAAATAACGTGTTGTTCAACTGAAACTCATTGATCATGGAGTAACTTATTTTTTTTAAGCGTATTTTGTACCTTTTCCTTGAAGTTAAAAATTAATGGAAGGTACGTGGCAACGTAAATTTTATGTGTCGATCTAGTGTTTTAAATAATAATTTGATTCTATTTTCCCCCATTAATTAAAGAATCTGGTTGTTTCTGTTAATTATCCCAAAATAATCTAGGAAGATTTTCTAGAGTATAAAATCCTTTAAAGAATGGATCTAGAAATCTTTCTATTTGTTGTGATACTTCAGGCCAATAATTATATATACTGGCTTGTCTTGGCGTAACCTTAGACTTCTACTTCCTTTAGGAAGAAAGACTTCTTACTTTTCTTTCATCAGAGATATTAAAGATATATCTGAACTATATTGATTGTGTTTTTCTTTTCTCAAGATAAGAAAGGAGTTTTTTCCTTGACATACAAAGGAGATCACAGGTTCCTGTCGATCCATTTGCTAACACCAACAGAACACCCTCTTACACGCGTCAATCCTTTTACAAGTCAATATTATTATAAATTCTGGTTTCGAATTCAGTGAATGCATGTGATAGATAAAATTTGAGTCCTTATTAAATTTATGTGACGACAAATAAATATTTTCCTACATTTGGTCTGATATTAACAGATTTTTATATTTTGAGGGTTTTCTATTTGTTATCTCTACATTCAACTGTAGTAATATCATTTTTTACAATATTTACTTTCATTTCATTAGATACTTTAAATAATAAGACATTTGGCAGCACAGTCTCTTCCTGTTGATTTCAATAAGGAGAAAAGAAAACAATAAAATAATATCCAACTGGACTATATATGTCAGTTTTCTTATTATTCCATTTGATCTGCGAATATGTCAGGTGGAAAATCGTATAAAACGGTGTCTCCAACATTACATGAACAAGGAGGAAGTTCTGAACACTCTTATTCAGGACAACGTAGATCCTCGTTTTACTGATATAGGTATTGTTATTCGTGTTTAACTGATAAGCATTCTTGACCCTTCAGAATTTATCAAAGTTGGGGTTTGAAATTGCAACGACAATCATTTTGTTCTTGAACTTTTGAACATTCAGGACAGTAGTGTTCTGGTACTATTGATCCTCTATGACTGGTTGCCAATTGTCATAACTCACTGCATCATTTTCTCTTGTAGCATTTCCTAGAGAAATAAGTCATTTTTGACTTACTGGTCAAATGATTCATTGACTTTTCCTTTCTATACGTTTTCAAAATTTATTTTACTTGCTTCTAATGCTAGTTATTTTACACTAGAAGGTGATTAAAAAGGTTCCATAATTCGCTTAGTGTGTTGCATTAAGAACGTGTCTCTAAGAAAATATCAAGCCCACACAGGAGTGAAGCTTAACATATCTTATCTAAAAGCATGCATTTCATTTTTGTTTACTTATTTTGATGTCTTCACAATTCTTGTTTCCCGCCTTTTCTGACTTTATCATGTCTTTCACGCAGTATAGTAATAATGTTGCATTTTTGTAGGCCTTCTATTTCTAATTATGTCACCTGCAGCTAGTATAATTTGCTATCTGTCTTCCAGTTTGGCAGAGGCTTGAAGAACAAAATTCAGAATTTTTCAATGCTTACTACCTTCAGTTGATGGTGAAGGAACAAATCATGGAATTCAACAGGTTGCTCTCAGAGCAGGTGGAGCTGATGTATCGAACAGGATCAGTTGGGATGGCCGCCATACCCACATCTAATGGATCTCATGTTTCACCTAGTAAGACATCTTTCTACTTAAATACTTCAAAGTGCTTCAACTGTTTTGCTCTCTTTAATCTTTATCATAGTACGAACAAATCTATATGATATCTAGGTTGCCCTATCCATTATTTGTTCACAAGAAAATGTTCCAAGAATGCGTAGACCGGGCACAGTAAACATTGCCATTTCAAAATAAGAAATGTCATTCTAGGGGGATGCAATAATTAAATCGATGGAAATAAGCAGTGGCCTGGTTGGCACCACCAAGGGAAAGATAAAACTCTAGGCAACTTTACACTGAAGCTGCAGAAGGCATACTTGTTGATTCATGTATTCCAAAGATAAGGTGTATTCTTGTGACTTTCTATGGTGGGATAAAAAAAAAATTCCATTGGAATGTTTAAAGAATGTCTAACTAGTCATCTATCTTGAAGGTGTGGTATCTTTGCAACGACCATTCTGAAAGCTTTTGTTATGGTGCTCCTCATCTTCATGAACCTCAACTGTAGTTTCAATGCCAATGAGAGGAAAAGAAAAGAGAGGATAACTTGAAGGTTTAAATGATAGTTGTACCTTTTTCTTAATAATTTCTTCCTGTAGCAAAAATAACATTACTTTTTGTTTCAGGTCTACCATTGAATTCCTTTCAGCCACTTCTTAATAAGTTTACTATTGTAAATATTTTCTGCACCTTCGAAAGTACTTCTATTGCTCCGGACCATCAGATTTGAAGAACATGCATAATTGTTTTAAATGAATCCCCTGGCAAGAGGAAACATCCATATTAATCAGCGGCATTTCATGGTTAAAGATAATTTTTTAACGCTCCTGCTGCATTCCCATCCCCTAGGAAAAGTTGTAGAGCTCATTTGAGTACCCTTGTACCACATCTCATCGCGTAGGGTGCTCCTCAGAGGGCGATTTGGTGCATTTGGACCTAAATGGATGTCAACAATTTTGTTGAGAAAAGGGTTGAGACACCTTGTATCCTCCCATTTTCACTAATATGAACTATAATATCTTTAAAAAAAATTGAAAATCCACAAAAGCAAGCAACTCCAACCCCAACACTTCCCCAGCCTGCCATACCCCCTCTCTCTTCAACCACCACTACAGTTTATTGTCTAATTATACGCAAAATGCAAGAAACAACGAATAACTGAATAACTGAATTTAATTAGGAAAACTATCTTCATTATAATCACTCCCTAGCTAATCTATAACACCCATTCTGTCAGCAATGGTTGATTCTTCACCAAAAAGTCGTCATGTTTGATCTTGTTGGTTGTCGGTGGTAGAGCTTGGTGATTGATGGCAGGGAATGATTGGGAGGAGCTAGTTATTATGCCCTGATAGTGGTGGGAGGTGCTGATGGCTAGGCACACATAAAGTCACAACAAAGGTTGCAGCAAGCTGTGCCGAAGGCAGACACCTGGAGGCAGTAAATGACTTATCTCAACCTATTGGCAGGCACTTCTTTTACTAGTAAATATTGAGAATGGTAGAAAGAACAAGATTTGCTCATAATGAGAATCCTTGTGGTCTCATGGATGATCCATCAGAGATGTCTCTTTATAGGTGGGACTTTCTAGTGTTGAAATAGGGTAACTCGAAAATGCACGAGGATGTTCTTATTATAAGAGTTAGATGGGTTTAATTAAGTTGATGCGATGACTTCCCTGGTTTCAAATATTAGTATATTACTGTAGTCTAGGTGATGTTCTTTTTACAATGTTAATTTCCTGAAACTTATTCTGGTTACTAAATTGCTCTACTTTATGGTGCATGTGATAATATCATATTATCTAGTTTGAGATTTTTTTTTCACTTATATGCACGGCTGATGTTATAAACTAAGAATTCAGTACGAATATCTGTGACTACAATGGTCTCCTCCCTCTCATGTTGTTTTGTGGTATTGGAATTCATTTTAAGTGCGTAGCAGTATACTTCCTGCTCTACAGAGCTTAACTAGTACGTCTATCTGACAGCAGAGGATGTGCAGCAGCCAAATGCATTCAATAATTGTGGATCATCAATCCAGTCTCGTGTGCAAGAAACTCTTGATGTATCTGCTCATGATAGAAAGATGACCATTTTGCCAAACTTGTTCTTGGGTCAGCATTCAAATGTGGAATTGGCACAAGCAACAAATGGGAAGGTTGTCAAAACCAAAGCTGGTTATGCTGGTAGTTCACCTTTCTATTTGAGTGCACATAGCAATTTAATGGAATCACGTCCTCTGATGGATGATGCACCTGTATCATCTTTCACTAGCTTTGAGCCAAGTGCACAGCCCCTGCATGACATGCTTTTGGGTGGAAATGCTCCATCATTTGGATCTTTGGGGCAAATTCCTCAAAGTCAGTTTTGGTCCCCAGACGTGGCAGCTGATTTCTGCAATAGTTCTGGTTTGCTCTCTCTCCTCTCTACATAATCATACATGAATATATACATACATACATATACATCAGGTGTTTGGGTGGAAATTTATATCAAAGATTGCGTATGGGTACTGTTTGACGTGTTCTGAGCTGTCTCTTTTCTGTGCAATTTCAGAATTACTGGAGAGTTACTGTAGGCTTCCCATACTATCAACCGGTGCAAATGACTGTATGAATCCCCATGGTAGGTGTGATCACTCGTCAGACCTTCTGGTTGTTCATTTCATTTGGAGAATAACTTATGTTTGCATCTTGGAATTCAGGAGACATGGAGAGGTTGGATTCCGTATCTGAAGGGTTACGATATCAAGGTCGTGGTAGTGATTGATGGACTGATGCCATTGTACCTTTCTACACCTATAGATATGACAAATAAGAAATTTGTGCATTTGCACTTTGCTTATCCAACCTGATTGCCTGCTTATTTTAAGTCATTTGTCTTTTTATTCCCCATGTTACATCTTGGTCCGAAAGAATGGCTCAACCTCATGTTCCTTTCATCAGTATCATATATGCTGATTATTCTCAGTTTTGTATTGTTTACTTTTGTTTGATGTCTTATGGCAAATTCCATGCACTTTTTTAAGATATAAATCGAGTTGGATCATCAACAAAATGCTAATTGTGCCCAATTATGTTGTTTGTTTAGTCAAAAAGGAAAATACTGATGTAGTACTTTTCCAGCGCTCCAAGTTCATGCTTGGTATACATTTATGTAGGAAATTATGTTGCAAAATTGTACGTCTCATGATGGTTATTAGTAGGTAGCCTTAATTCGGATGTCCTGCTTTCCCTATCCTGATAGAACAGAGAATTCTCCCCATTCCCTCGCTGACTATTGGCCAATCAATTTGTAAAACTGGGGTTAGAAATCACTAAAAGATTTGCATATCAAACTTGGTGATTAGTTACTTTTTTCTTTAGAAACTGTCAATCTATTATTTTTCTGCGCCTGTTGTAATCTATTTGATTTTTTTTTTTGAATTTTTGTTTGTGTTTTATTCTGCAGATCCTACTACACACTGTCAGGATTGAACTTTTTGTACATTTGGTTTCATCGACATGGGAAAGACTTCAGACATCTGAAGGAAATGAACTTTGATTTAGAGTCTGTTTTATCACATTGTCTTTTTTCTATTTGAATGTTTATAAAGCAGATATTACACCTTTGTTAGGTTGTCTTTTAACCATGAGACTGATACATTAGTAATGCTTTTAAAGCTGTATGAATAGGGCAGTATCTATCCTTTTCTTCCTTTTTTTCCCCTCTCTGAGTTCTGAAATTATGGAGAATGAAAAACCTTTTCCAGGATCTGGCTGTTTATATCTAAAGACATTCAACTGTTTCAGCAAGAGCTTTGTATGCAATTCGTTTCATTCTCAGTCTGAGGAAGTTCAAAATTTTTTTACCTACAGTTCGAGAGCATTTGCGTTGCCCCTGGCAAGAAGGGTCATGTTATATCAAGAGAAATTAACAAAACACCCCTCGGAGATCCGAATGAGAGAGTCGAGCCAAAAGTAAAAAATTCAATTTTGGATCGATTATTTTAAACTTGAAGATCAAGATTGAACGACACGATTCATTTTATGACCAAGCAATTTTATAGGCAGCCGTTACTATGATATTTGTCATTAGAATTAGAACACTAGATCATAATACTGCAAACACAATTTCAACAATGACTTGGCCAAAGTAAGAAAAATTAAAACACAATATCACAACAGGAGAAAGACAGTAGCCCAACCACCACAATTTTGAGAAACTTAAAGAGAGGCCAATTACTTTAATAGTCTTCACCTTCATCTTCATCATCTACACCTTCAGCACCAACTTCTTCATAATCTTTCTCCAGCGCAGCTAAATCTTCACGAGCTTCACTGAACTCTCCTTCCTCCATTCCTTCACCAACATACCAGTGAACAAATGCCCTCTTGGCATACATTAGATCAAATTTATGGTCAATGCGCGAAAACACTTCAGCCACGGCAGTGTTGTTGCTGATCATGCACACAGCTCGCTGCACCTTGGCAAGATCACCACCAGGTACTACTGTTGGAGGTTGATAGTTAATACCACATTTGAAGCCAGTTGGGCACCTGTTAAGTCCAGAGATGAATATTTTCAGAATGGGTGGTCATGAATAAAAGGACAACAAACGTAAATGCCTCTAAATAAACAATGCTCAGTGTAGTTAAAATCGTCTAAACTAGGTATTAAATAACTAAAACATGCAAGGGAATGGAAAGTTCAAAACACATAAATCATATTTGATATTGTATACTAGGTTCACCCCTGAAGTGGCCCGTGCTTTTTCTTGAGAGAGCACATGCTTCTGCATGGCTGCCAGGTTGGTAACTGCTTTGAACCAATAGAGGCATATTTGACTGAACTTTTTGAATCTTGTCAAGACTTAATTCTTATTGCCACCAATTCAACAACCCAGAAAGAATATTTCAATGTATTCATTGTAAGACCCAGATCTCCAAACCCAACCGGGCGCCCCCCCCCCCCCCCCCGCCCGGGGGGGGGGGGGGGGGGGGGGTGGAACAAAAAAACAAACCACATTACTTACTCTTTCCGCATTACAAGTAAATACTTTTCAAGATGCAACAAAATATGATTTTTCAACAAGTAAACCTCTGTACCAAGAACACTTCAACCAGGGTAATATGTCCATGTCGGATATTGACACTCCTCGAATACTCTACCATGATCATTTTTCTTTTTTTATTAGATATATTATATATTTTTAATTCAAAGTTATTATTAAATAACAAATAGTAGCATATTTAAAAGATTTCAAGGAAAAAACCAATAAAAAATATAAAACCATAATTACACTATATAAATTAAGAATTTAATCAGCATGTCGACAACGTGTTGTGTCGGTGCTTTTTTGAAAAATCGCGTATCAGAGTATCCAATACGTATCGGATCAAACATACGTGTCTGTGTTAGTATATCATAGAGTAAACCTTGCAAGCTATCATTCTAAATATATTTTATATCTTCAGCTTGGCAACTAGTTTTCTTTAGCCAAGTTATACTCAGATTTCCTTACCAGTCAACAAACTGAACCGTCCGTTTTGTTTTGATAGTAGAAACGGCAGCATTCACATCCTTGGGCACAACATCTCCTCGGTACATCAGGCAACAAGCCATGTATTTCCCATGCCTTGGATCACATTTTGCCATCATACTCGAGGGCTCAAATACAGCATTAGTGATCTCAGGGATTGATAGCTGCTCATGGTATGCTTTCTCGGCTGAGATCACGGGGGCATATGATGAGAGCATGAAATGAATACGAGGGTATGGTACAAGATTGGTCTGGAACTCAGTAACATCCACATTAATGGCCCCATCAAACCGTAAAGAAGTGGTCAAGGACGATATGATCTGAGAAATCAACCGGTTCAAATTGGTATAGGTGGGCCTCTCGATATCTAGAGATCTCCGACAAATATCATAAATTGCTTCATTGTCCAGTAGCACAGCGACATCTGTGTGTTCAAGAAGGGAATGAGTTGAGAGAACACTGTTATAAGGCTCCACAACAGCAGTGGACACCTGCAATTGATATCAAAAACATGTCTAAGTCACGTAGAACAACTGAGGGCTAATATACCTACAGCTATATGCAGTTCACATTGGAAGTTACTTATCAAAAAGTGTTGAAATTCAGTCTACAAAAGCATTAAAAGTTTCAAAATATATTCATAAAGCTTTGCTGCTTTTTATAGAGGACAACTGCAACCATGAATGGTCACCGAAAAACTAATAGGTAGAGGATTGAGGCAACTATTAGAATGTTAACTTTAAGCACCTGAGGAGAAGGATAGATGGTGAAGCCAAGCTTTGACTTTTTGCCATAGTCCACAGACAAACGTTCCAAAAGAAGAGAACCTAATCCAGAACCAGTACCACCACCAACAGCATTGAACACCAAAAATCCTTGCAAACCTGTGCAATTATCGGCCAACTTCCTCACTCTGTCCAGACATACATCAACAATCTCTTTCCCCACTGCAGTTAAATCATCACAGTCAAATTAACCCACACAAATGGAGATATATATTATAGTGGTGGCACAGGCCTAAGTTTCCAAAGATATTGATTGAAACACAAACATGTGGTTTCATGTAAACAAGGCATTTAGACAAAGGGTGTATTAACAGTTACCTGTATAATGGCCTCTCGCGAAATTGTTAGCAGCATCTTCCTTTCCGGAAATGAGCTGTTCAGGGTGGAAGAGCTGGCGATAAGTCCCTGTTCTGACTTCATCAATAACTGTTGGTTCAAGATCAACAAATATAGCTCTGGGGACATGCTTCCCTGCACCAGTCTCACTAAAGAAGGTGTTGAAGGCATCATGTGCTGCACCCACTGATGTGTCGCTGCAAAACAACAAACAATTATACATCAAAATGAGAACTTGTAAACTCAAGAGTAATTGAGAGCAAACGAAAAAACACCAAAATAAAATCCAATGTGCGAATTAAAGAATCTGCTTGCTTTTACATCTTGCTGTAGGGAATTCACAGTTACTGAGATTGAAGTATTTCACATTTTATTGGACTAATCAAAAGGAAAATCATTTCCGTGAATCTTTAATCCCCATGTTTGTCGTGCTATGAATATAGGTAGGCAAATTACGATATTTCTTTTGAAAATCATTCAGTTTTCCAATATCAACCACGAAGCCTAGCTAATTCACACTAACGCGATAATATTACTCATTTACGTAAAACAAAATATACAATGATAGAAGGATATGTAAATACGCTAAGATAGATATAAAGTTGTATACCTAGGCATCATGCCATCGGGTTGGATGCCATGTTCAAGGCAATAGAGTTCCCAACAAGAATTTCCCACCTGGATTCCTGCTTGACCTATATGAACACTTATAATTTCTCTCATTTTTCTCGACAAAAGCACGAAATCTTTCTCTCTATAGGTCCTTGACGGCAATAACAATGAACTTCCTCTCTCTAGACTAATATTTGTGAAATCGAAAGTGGAATTTGATAAATGGTTGGCGTCCGGAGAGCGGGCCCCTCCATTTGACGCCTGCCATACTATGGGCCCCACATTCCATTGGCCAGTGAAATGACAAAATCAACGCTGGCTTTCCAGTCAATAATTGCCTAACTGGTGGGTAAATAAAGAATTAAAGAGGGGTAGAATAGGCAATACACGAATTGCACCACGGTGTACCATGTGCAAAGACAAATTGAGCGCCCATTTGTTTTTCATTTTTGGAAGAATGAGAATAAAAAATATAGTCGTTACGAATCCCACACAAAAGATAGAAATTCAAATTAGTGACTTAATGTGATGAATAACGATCATATTTTTCATTTTAATGAAAAAAGAATGAGAACCATACATGAGCTGAAATTGTAGTCACACATATTACTAGCAATTGGCGGGGAGGAAGGATTTAGGCTGCTATTAGGATATGATGTCATGCAACGCCTTGCTGTTTTCCTTACTATATAAAAGAGGCGATGGAAGTTATCGTAGTTATGAATTGTGAATTCTTTTATTTTATCATAGTGTAGCTCCTTTTTTTTTTTTTTTCTCTTCCAATTGTTGAACAAAAACAACGTCGTATTCTTGCCTTCAATCATTCCTTGATTGATATAATGACATTTTCCCCATTTTTTCTCAATTCACGCAAACTTTCTTTACTTTTTCTCCATTTTCTCACCCTCTACAACATGTTTCTTTATTTCTCCATTTCTCCACATAAATCGCACATCATTTCTTATTCTCTTTTCTGTAAAGTTTAATGCATAATTCTTATTTTTGTTTCTATTTTATTTTGTGTATAAATTAATTTGTTTAATATTTATTTTTCAGATTTTCCCTTGATATCAAATCTTAGATTTCAATGTTTTCGAATTGATTTTTCCCAATCCCAATGGGTAAATTAATTTCCTTTTTCCCCCTTCTTTTAGTTATTATTATTATTTTTTTTTTAATTGACTTTCTTCCAATTTGTTCTTTATGGTCCCGTTTGGTACTATTTTTTTCAAAATGTATTTTTTTCATCTCTCTTCTTTTCAACCACACGTTCTTCATTAAAATAATAGTACACGTAAATTAAAAACTTTTCATTATTTTTTAACCACAAATTTCCCATCAATTTACTATTTCAAAATGCATTTTTGCATAAAAATGGCTCCCAAACACCATTTTTCTTTTTTTTTTAATTGACTTTTATATATTTTTAAATAAAATAAATATACTATTTGGATATATTTTTGTTTTTAGTTAATTGACTTAGAATTTTGGGTTTGAATATGTGTATTTGATTGTCTTGATTTTGAGTTGCTTTCTTTGG